AGAAATAGCTGTTGGAAGATATTGGAAGAAACAAACCCATATGCCCAAAAATCCAATCAGAGATTTAAGTATCTCCCTTTTTGAAAGCCCTTCTCTTGTATCCACTGAAATGCCACCAACATCTCATCCTCCACAAAAAACCCAACCACCACAACCAAAAACAACCAAACACCACAGACCCCACCAAAAAACCCACAAAACAACCACACTACCTACAAGAAAAAGCCTAAGAACTACACCATAGACCCCACTCACACAACAAACATCAGCCACACCTCCAACCACAACAAAAACAAACAAACAAACAAAAGAAAGCCAACAAAAAAACAAGAAGCTCCTCCAACCAAAAAAAGAAAGCTCCAAGAAAGCCAATCAACTCCCAAAACAAAAACCAAGGCATCAAAAGGGAAAAAAGCAGCAGTCCCTGCAAAGAGAGTCCAACAGTTTAATTACCGTTCCAACATCGGAACAGTAATCAAACTGTTGAAGGGGTCAAATTCACAAAAGCCCAACAGACAGAGCTGGAAAAAAACCCCTTTTTGGCCCATTATAAATGCTCTCTCAACATAATTGAAGGCCTCTTGGTGCAGATGCTACAATTCCATTGTAGCAGAAATGACAACATTTTACAACAAAAGAAAAAGAGCATTTATACTTGGCAAAAAAGGAAATGAAACTCAGAAACAGTGATGTCAAGCTCATTTTTGGTATCGACTGTGGAGAAAACAGCAGTACCACCAAATCCTATGCAAGACCAAAGGATTTTGAGCTTCTACAAACGAAGATGCAAATCAGTAAAGAGATTGGATGGCAAGTCTTTGACCAAAATGTTTCAACAAACAAAAAAATGAAAATCAACCAATGATCGTCCAGATCTTGCAAGGGTCATCACCCTTTACTTATGCTTGAAACTTCTCATGCCTACAACATGCCATACACTCAGTTGGAGTTTCCTCAACTATGTTGACAATCTCAACAAATCAAGAAGTACAATTGGGTTGAGCCAATAAAAGACACACTGATGAATTCAATGGCAAATGAAAACAACAACCTAAGGCATGTTACTAGATGCGTCATGTTACTCTTGGTAAACACATTACTCAACTACTTCACACAAAAATATCAGACATACACCTATTTCTAACTATCTAACATATTTCAATTTTTTTTACAGTACTGGTACTGTGAGCACAATAAACTCCTCTGACCATCCAACAAAGAAGGCTTCCCAAGGTTTATGAAATGGAACCTTGGCAAAATGTACTCCAAGTGGAAATACATCAGCCTTGCTCACTTTGAAAAGGTATTCAAACTCTTTTATACTATCATAGCACAAATCTATTCAACACTCCTTTCACAGTCATTATAGTAAAAATCATGTTATGAAACTGTCAAATTCTTCAGTTTCAAACAACATATATTCAATATTTGGCTCACATTATTCACAGTACATATCATATTATGAAACTGTAAAAGTTTGCAGTTTCAAAGCACACACTTATTTAACATCACTCATGTTATGAAATTGCAAAAGTTTACAGTTTAAAAGCACAAATCTATTTCACATCACTCATATCATGAAACTGTAAAATTTTTTAGTTTCAAGCAACATATTTCGACACTTAACCCACATTACTCACAGTACAACTCATCTTATGAACCTGACCAATTTTACAGTATTACTGATATATGCCACATTGTTCCAATGCAGGTTGACCAAAGTGCTTTAACCCCAACTGAACAAGAAATACAGTTATTGCATATCAATCAAAGTACATCAACAGACTCTTCAACAAAGAAACATGACCACAAAAAGACAATAAGCGAAAAAAACAAACAAAAGCAACAACAAAAAAAAAAGACTTCTAGACAGTGATGAGGATGACTTTCTCGAAGAAGAACATCAATTAGAATCAAAATTAGAATCAGAACAAGAAGAACAAAAAAAAGAAAAAGAAAAAAGAAATCAAAAACTACAAGAAGAACTAGAAAGTGATGAACAAGAAGAAGAGAGTGATGATGAAAAAAAACAAGTGGCTGATGAAGAAGAAGCTGATGAAGAAGAAACTAAAGAAGAAGAAGAAACTAAAGAAGAAGAAGAAGAAGAAGAAGAAGAAGAAGAAGAAGAAGAAGAAGAAAAACCTGATGAACAACAAGACAATGATGAAGTAGAAGAAAGACAAGAAACAAAAGGTGATCAACCAGAAGACACTAATGAAGAAGAAGACCAACAACAAGAACAAGAAGAACAACAAACAAACCAACAACAAGAAGTCAATGAACAAGAACTGATAGACCAACAAGAAGAACTCCAAGAGAAATCTGGCATATTTCATGCACAAGGTAAACTCTTGTCTAATACTAAAGCAAACTGTAAAATTTAATTAAACTAACCAAAACACAATCCAACATTTTTATAAGTCATGACCAAGCACAAACATCAACCAAAGAGGACGACAAGGACAAGCTCATATCAGCTATGAGAGCAAAAATGCAAGAAATGGAACAAAAATTCATGGCTGAATTGCGTAAAAAAGAAGATCAATTGAAGGAAATGTTCGCCAAAAAAACTGGCAGTCCCCAACAAAGATCAATGGTCAAGAGAATCAAACAAAAGTCAAGAAAACAAGCATATGACCCAGATTTTGAATACCAACCAATGACAAAAGCCAAAGAAGATACAAGGAACAAGACACAAACTGCTGCTGATGTACCCAAACCAACAGAGGGTACCGATGAAGAAAAAGAGAAGAAGAATGAAAAGAAAAAAGAAGAAATCGAAACAGAGATAGAACCTGCTACTGAACCTGAGCAAAAAGAGAATGCCCATGAAGCAAAACAACAGCAGAAAGAAAAAATGCAAGAAGATATTGGCCAAGAGAAACAAGTTGTTGCTGAAACCAACCTAAAAGAGGGTGCCAATCAAGAGAAGACACAACTCCAAGTATTGGAAAGTGATGCTGATTTCAAGGAAGAATCAATCCAAAACAAGCCACTCGTCATTTCATGCTGCAAAACTAACAAGGTTTGGCATAGCCTATCCAAAAAAGACCAAGACCAAATTCAACTCATCAACAACACACAATTAAGTGCTTGTGTCTGGTCTAACAGCGAAGATGAAAATTGCATATACTTTTCAGATATATGCAGATTGACCAACAGGGAACCCTTATATGGGAATGTAGGTCCCCAACTGCACAATTTTACAGTTTCTGTTCATATTCAATAACCTATTCCACAAACCGAACACATTCTCATATATAACATGTTTCAGGTCATTGATGCCTTCTCAGAAATGAAATTGGCACTCCAACCAACCATTGAAGAATTTGAGAAACATGATCTAGCCTTTGTAAGAAATTCATACGGGGGAAGATCTTACGTTTTCTAAACACTCATCAATGTAAGCCAAATTTAGCATACCTTTCAATATTATTCAAACTACAAAATTTTCTACTTTCTTAACATGTCTTACTACATAGTTTTATAACATATTTCAAACATATATATAACTTACAGACTCCACTACAAAACCAAGATCAAGTACTGAGAGAAAAAATGATGGACAACCATTTTCCAGAAGCAATGAAAAACAGATATATCCATTTCTTAATCAACCACGACAACCATTGGACAATTGTGGTCTTTGACAATGCTGATGGGATATGGAGGCACTATGACTCTTTGAGACTAGCAAAAGATTGCCACAACAAGAACTTTGAAATTCCAAAGGAAATTGTAAGTTAAATAAAATTTCCTACTTAGTTCCATTCCTTTAAAAATGTCTCAACTCATCACTATAACTAACAAAAACACCCACTAACTATTTTGTAGCAACAACATCAACTGAGATGGAATAAAGCATTACTCAACAATCAAGGAAACATGTTATCATCTCAAGAGTGCGAGACAGTAATTGCATTAATTGAGGAATGCCCACAACAAACCCCACATTCGTAAGATACAAAATCAATAAACTAATCTTCCAATATGCTAAATTTTACAGTTTTATCTAACTAATTAACTTCATCAAAAACTTTGCAGGAATGATTGTGCAATCGCCGTCTGCAATGTTATCAACTAATATATCAACTGGCAACTTGTGTAGAAATCACTTCGACCAACTGAGTGGGTCAAATTTCGAGCTGAAATCATCAATCAATTCCTCAATGATGAGAACCGATCTTGAAAACTCGAGCACTACCAAATGTTGACAAAACATACCAAACCATAGAAACAATGAACAAACTTCTTGACAATACAAATATTCAAGTGAACATATTTTTGTACTTTTTTTTTAAACATGTGACAAGTACTTTATATGCTTTTGGGAATGATCTTCTTCTGGTTATTATGGTGAAAATGATTGTTGTTATTGATGTTGTTGTTGCTCTTCTTCTTGTTATTGTTATTGTGGTTGTTCTTCTGATATTTGTGTACTTGTTTGTAGTTGCATATATTTTCATACAGTAAATGTTGTTTATAATAATTCTTCTAATAATTCTTAAAACTGCAAAATTATGCAGTTTCATCAGGTTGTTTTTCATAATTCTTAAAACTGCAAAATTATGCAGTTTGATTACTCAAACAAAAATTATGCTACACAATTATGCATCCAATTTCATGACTCAACAAATAGATGAACTGCATTTCAAAATTGAAAATAAAACTGCAAAATTTTATAGTTTTGTCACTATGAAATATGAAATAAATGAATTATGTAATAAAACTGCATTTCAATATTATACAGTTTCAATATGAAATTTTCAACAACCTTCTCAGCATTCCATAAAAATAAAACCAACCAAACCCACAAAAAAATAAAAGTAAAAAACAAAACGAGACTGTTACAAAACAACTTCAATAACTAAAGAACACATCAAAAAATAAAAAACAGTTCAACCAACTTTATTCATTACTTCCATAATACCAAGTATCACATTTTGTATTATCATAATTCCTCAAATTCAAATACAAATCCAAAAGAATAGATTGTGGCCTCAAATAGCAGCCTTGCACGTCTTCTTATTGTGATTCTCACATTTCAAGCACCTCCCACACTTGATTTGCTTCACATTCTCACCCCTAGAAGGTATCCTCTTCTTCTTGTTCTGCCCGAGCTGCTTCTTCGTTATAGGAGGTTTGATAATTGAACTACCGACACTATCAAAGTCAAATCTCTCACTTGAAGGTACTGGATAAACAGATTCCTTGTATGACTCTCTAAAACAATCTACATGAAAAAAGGGATCAATGAAATCATACATATCTCTACCACTACTACGCAAAGCATACACAGCATGACAACAAGGAAAACAATTCAATTGCCATTCATGGCAAGAACAAGTCTGTTTACCAATATCAACATAAAAAGAATTAGAAGAATGAACCTCAAGCACAGTATCACTAGCAACAATCACATCCCAAGACTTAGCTAGCTTCAAAGAGTCCACCAACTTCTTTTCCATAATTGGACACAATTTCGTAGTCCATCTTTTACATTCAGCTCTTCTATTAGACAATTGAGTCATGATTTCAACCCTAATCATATCAACCATACAAATGATAGGCAACTCACGGGCCCCACCAATCTAATTATTGTAAGACTCGGCAACATTAGATGACATCTCACTATATTGTTTCCCTCTAAAAAATGCATTCGCCCACTTATCATTTTGCAAACCATCCAACATACTATCAACTCTACCTTTCCCAGCAATACGCCTCAATTTCTCCATATAATGTTGGAAAGAAGCAACCGTTGGCGCATAAGCACATTTAACTAATATTTTCATCAAACTCAGCTTATAGTTAGTACGAAGTCTCACCAATTTGTCAATCAAATTTCTCTTCAAATGATTCAAGCAATATGCATGATGTTCATTGGAAAAAACCACTGAAAGAGCGCCTAGCAATCCATGCTGACGGTCAGACACAAAGGTCAATCTCCGGCTTGAACCAATAGCCTTTAACAACTGACTTAAGAACCATATCCAATTATCTTGATTTTCAGCGTCAACAATCGCAAAAGCCAAAGGAAACAAACTTGCAAACAAAATAACATCAAACTGCAAAAATTAGCAAACTCACAATACAATAACACACTAACAAACCAAACCTATACCAACTGCAAATAAATACATACCTTGATAACCATCCTTTGATGTTGCTGCAAGCAAATGCCCCTTGTAACGCCCCTTCAAGAATGTACCATCAACAAACAACAACGGACGACAAAATTGAAAGCCATACAAACATCCATGAAATGCCACAAACAACCTCCGAAAACACCCACTACTTTTATCCACATCTAATTCAAACACACTTTCCAGATTCGTTATCATAGCCGTCTCAAGGTACCATCGAAGTTGGTCAAAAGAAGTTGCAAAATCACCAAACAACCCACCTCTTGCCTTATCAACTCCTAACCATGCAACCCAATAAGAAACATCTATACCATATTATTTCTTCAACTTCTTTTTAACTTCAATAGGACAAGTCAACGGATTATCACTAATATCATTATGCACAATATCAGACACAAGTCTAGAACCAACTATTTTGCTACAAGATCTACGAGCAACAACCCCACAAGTATGCATATTATCCAACTTCATTATAAAAAAAAAATCAGAATTCATCAACACCCTTCCATGCACAAACCATTTACAACCCGTAGACGACTTCATCATACATTCAGCAGTTACTCTTGTTGCATCGTTCTTCAAATAATTCATTGCAAAACCACACTCAACTGCATACTTAGCAAATGCAATGCGGAGCGCCGGCACTCCACCTTCAAATTCTTGACCAACATTATATATAATCCCTTTCCAACTAGCAGACAACAAAACTCTCTCTAGTTATGGATAAAAACTAGGCAACAAACCACCAAAATCATCACAATCGTTAACCAAAGAACTCTCACAAATTACAGAATCAATCCTACAAGAATTATCATCATCAACCTCCACAATTCTCTTATCACCCACAACAACATCAACAACATGAGAACCACTACAACCTACCATTGACAGCATATTCCCCAAATCATCATCACATTCAACAATACAATTAGAATATCCAAGAATAGAAAAAAACAAACAAAAGTTACCAACACTCAACTCCTTGAGCTTCGCAGATGTTTTCTCAACAACTTCATGATAACTACATCCCTCAGTAATCTTAATAGAAGCACAAGAATTACTGTATTTGCACATTAACATGAAACACCCCTCCATACTACAAAATCACAAACCAGCAAACAATTGTTCACAAATTCCAAACTGCAAAATTATACAGTTACAAATATCAGTACCAACAGTGCACAATTCACAATTCCAAACTGCAAAATTATACACTTACAACATATCAGTATCAAAACACCAGAATTCACAATTCCAAACTACAACTTCAAAACACATTACACTATACAACAAACAAAATCAACAAAACCAAAATCATTACACTATATCACATACAAAAATTAAATAAATAAGTATCAAACAAACAAAATTTATCACAAAACAAAGAACTAAAACAACATTGCCGAATACAAACTAGATATCACGCAAATTTGCTTATCTATATATACATACATATATGTATCGACAGATAAAAACCAGGTACACACACAGTGAGATACATATATGTATATGTATGTATCGACAGATACACACATACACATACATATATGTATCGACAGATACAAACCAGATACACAGAGAGAAGAGATATATATATATATATATAGAGAGAGAGAGAGAGAGAGAGAGAACGTACGCAGAGATCACCTGTACACAGAGATTCAGATCGCACAACTAGATCCACCTCACAACACAATGAGATCGACCACATAGCACAATGAGATCGCCATATCGAAGAGAAATCGAGATCGCAGAGGTGAAGATTTGATTTTCTTTTTTGAACGGAGCAAATATTTGATTTTTCACGTATATATAGATCTCAAAATAAAGGGTAATACAGTCATTTACAAAATACGAAAATAAAAAAGGGACCTTTGGGTATAAAACTTAAAAAACTATGGACCTATTAATCTATTAAAAATATATTGGGATTAGAAGGGAAATAGATCCCCTACATAGGACTACATAGTAATTTTCCCCAAAAATGTTTGATTAGGTTTTTCAAAAAATATTTTTCACAAAATTTTATTTTTTTATTTTTTGTGTTTTTTTGTTTTTATTGATTTTTTTAATATTTTAATCAATTGTTTTTACTTTTTAGACATATCTAACATAAATATACTTAAAAAGTAAAAAATTTGTGATAAAAACCTTTTAAAAATTCACTAAATATAAAAAATACAAAAAAATACGAGAATTCAATATTTTTTTTTGTATTTTTATGTATTTATTAATTTTTTAAAATATTTTTTCACAAATTTTTTACTTTTTAGATACCTCTAAGTAAGGTACATCTAAAAAAGTAAAAAAGAAAATGTTTAAAATTTTAAAAATATTCACTAAAAATAAAAATAAAAACACGAAAACTAAAAAATTCAGTTTTCAAAAAACTTAATCCAAAAAATTCAAACCAAACACACTGATAATCCTGTGGTGCAAGCCTAAAGTTTTAATTCTATACAAAGTGACGTGGCAACATCTAAATAATGGAATAGAAGATTGGTACAACAAATTGGGACAGGTGATCCAACCCCAAGAACACCACATTACTGTTCCTTGAAAAGGCTAAAAATGAAACAAGCCTTCGGAAAGGAAATGGGTTATTGAGAGAGTATCTGGCTTCTCTCTAGAAACATCCTATTTCTAGGGTTTCAAGATTTCAATTTTCTTGTTGAAATGGCGGGAGTAAATGTGGATTTGTCTTCATTAAATATGCGAGCTTTGGGATCTGAAGTTGCCTCATCTGAGGGTAACGTAGTAGGAAATCTTAACCATCGTGTTAATTGTTCTTTGGTTTCTAAGTTGTCAAACCCCAAAATTAGGCTTCGATGGTAAATTAGGGTAGAACCAAATTTCTGAGGAAGATCTTGCTAATATTGTCGATATTGTGAGACGCGGTGGTGGTATGGAGAAAGTAATGCAGACATCCTTGTCTGAGTTAGCAGATCGACTCTAAAGGTTGAGGGAACAGATCCATTCTGACGTTCCTGGTACACGTAAAAGAGATCAATCTCGATCTGAGGTGGAATCGTTGATGGGTCCTACTGCGAATACTCCTCGGAGTCAGGTAGGCCATCTGAGATGGATAGAAGTGGTGGATGAAGGTACAGAGGCAAAGCGATTCGATGGGGGTTAAAGACAGTCTTCCCCTCACAAGGAATCGACGGATATTTGCGCCGTCCCATGAAGCAATTATTCCAGGTAACGATAAAGTAACCGATGATATCCAAGTTCGATTGGTCGATGATGAGGTTCGAGTCCAACCTACCAGAGGGGAGCGCAGCGGTAGAGGTTATGGGGCTTACCGAGGTGGTCGTGGCAGAGGTGGTAGGGGAAATCTGGGTGAAGGAGGAAGGAATCCTAATGTAACTAGCCTACAAAAAACCTGGGCTGAAGTAGCCAATATTTCGAGCAGATCACCAATTGAACTAAGGTATATTCCTCTCCCTCCTTCTGTAAACCCGAATGTTGTGGAACTCCCCTCTCGAAATGAGGATCTGGGTAAGTGGGAATCATGTTTAGTGGGGTATTTCCTTGATACGAAATTACCCTATAATTATGTGAAGAATAGTGTCTCCAACCAATGGAAAATTATGGGTCTGAATTGTGGGAGGAACAAAATTGTTAACCTTTGTTTTGTTGATGACCTGATGGTCTTTTGGAAACGGCATGTCCCTTCTATCCAACTCGTTAAAAATGGCCTTATGGAAATCCAATCCCTCTCTGGGTTATCTTTGAACCCAAATAAGAGTAATGTTTTCTTCTCTAGTTGTACCCCCTCTCTTAAAATTGACATTTTGAGGATCACTCAATTTCAGGAAGGTAATTTACCTGTGAGGTATCTTGGTGTTCCTCTCATTACTACTAGACTTAAGGCCAGTGATTGTAAAAGTCTTGTTGATAGGATTACTAATAGGATCAAATCTTGGACTAACAAAACTCTGTCCTATGTTGGGAGGGCCCAATTGATTAGTACAATTCTGTTTTCTATGCAAGTCTATTGGGCTTCCCTTTTTATCCTTCCTAAAAAAGTTATTAAGGAGGTTAAAGCCTTGTGTAGGTCTCTTCTTTGGTTTGGCCTTGAGCTTAAAAAATCTGCTGGTAAGGTTGCTTGGGATAGAATCTGTGCCCCCAAAAATGAAGGGGGGGTTAGGTTTTAAGTCCGTAGATATTTGGAATAGAGCTGCTATATCCAAGCGTATTTGGTTTATAGTGGCAGGTGGGGAGCATGCTATGTGGTGTTAATGGGTGAAGTCTTATTTGTTGAAAGGCCATAGTTTCTAGGCTATTGTGTCCTTAGTGACCCCTCTTGGGTATGGAGGAAAATCTTATCTTTGAGGGAGGCTATGTTTCCATTGATTAAGTACAAGATTGGTAATGGGGAAGGCATTTTCTTATGATATGAAAATTGGCACCCTCTTGGATCCCTCTAGTCTAAGTATGGTAATAGTGTGATGAATGACACTGCATTAAATGCTAAGGCTAAGGTGGCCTCTGTTGTGGGGGCTAGTGGTTGGAATTGGTCTAATGTTTCTTCTTGGGAGGTGAGGGAGATTGTTGCCCTTACCCCTCCTAACATTACTCCCTCCTTGGTATGTCATGATAGAGCCTTTTGGCTGCCTCAAAAGGATGGGAATTTCAATATTGGTTATGTTTGGAATTCCTGGATATTGAAGTGGCCCCTTGTCAATTGGGCTAACCTAGTGTGGACTCCTTACTCTATTCCTAGGGTGGGTTTCATTGTTTGGATGGCTATTCTGGGTCGGTTAAATACTGGTGATAGGCTTGCCATCTTTGGTATTAACCCTAACCCAGTTTGCCCCCTATGTGGTATACTTGGTGAGGACCATGATCACTTGTTTTTTCAGTGCAAATTCTCTTCTAATGTGTGGACTGTTGTGCTGTCCAAATGCAATACAAATTGGCACAGCCCTACCTAGTTGGGTTTGGTGGACTTGATAGCCAGAGACTGTAATGGCAAGTCTCTTGCTACTATTGTCAAAAGGCTTGCCTTTTGTTGTACTGTGTACCATGTTTGGTTAGAGAGAAACAATCGTATATTTACCAAGGAAAGGAAACCAGAAGAAATAATTTTGAAGAACATCATAAGCATGGTTAGATATAGAGCCCTTGCCCTCAACAATATTTAGAAATCCCAAAATGATATGTGGTTTCTGCAGGAATGGAGATTGCCTCCAAATACCATCAAAATTTGAGGGCAATGTTATCTGTGTGGGTCGAGTGAATGGGAGCACTATATTGAGGGTTAAGTTTGGCAAGGTTCTATAGTGAGTTTCCTTCATCTATTCTTGTTAATAAGCTTCTATGTTTTGCAGGTATGGGATGTGGAAACTCTTAAAAGAGGGTTGTGAGTTCACTATATGTGGGTTGAGTGATGTTAGCCACATACTGAGTGCTAATGTTTGCTCTATGTTTGTATAGCAGGTTTGGGATCCTAGTTGGTACTGGGGTAGGGAATGTTAGTTGGTGAGGGTTGAGTGAAGTGAGCCATAAATTGTTGTTAGTTCTTTTTCTACTTCTCTATCTTTGTTATGATTCTTTCTGAGCTCTGAACACTGTTTTGTTTTGAGGGGTGTGGTTATTGAGGGTTGAGTGATATAGCCCTTATACATTGTGAGTTTTGCTATATATACAGTGTTATGAGAACAATCTATTATGTTTTTTTCAAATGTGTTTCGCTGTCTTTTCCAGGCTACTCTGATCAGTATTGGGAAGCAGTGGAGATGGGTTATAATATGAGTGCTGTCCAGATTGAGGCCTCACGTGGTGAAGATGTTACACAGATCGGGCTGCAAGCTGCGCTAGTCTGAGTGGAATATTTCTGCTGGAAAATACGTTGTTTTTATTAAATAGTCTAGTTACATGGTTTTTATTTCTGATTGGTATCGAATTGTTCTATGGTTTTTTGTTTAGTTACGGTTGCTGTTTTCCCTATCCCTACGGGGTGTGTAGGGTTTTTCATTATTACACCTGCTGTATGTATCATGGTGTGGTTGCTTTGCAAATTCAGGTTCTCTTGGGCCATGTTGTTCTCGCCCTCTCTAGTTTGTGGGCTGTTGTAGTTTCTGGGTTTCCTTCTTTGTTCTCTCTCCCTATTTTGTTTGAGATATGGTGGGTGAACAAGGTTGTGGTCCCTTTGCCGAAGCTTGCTGTCTTACCTTTGTGGTTTGTGTTTTTGCTTTTGTGGTTATCTAGTAGCCTTGTTTGCAGCTGGTGTCTGGCTGCCTTTTGTTTGGTTCTATTGTATAGCTGGTTTAAGGCCTGGGTATCCCCTTGTATTCTTGTAAATCTTTTGTTTTATTTTATGACTTATTCATCAAAAAAAAAAGGCTAAAAATAATAAAAAAAGAAAACACAAAGCAAAATAATATTCCAGCCATCCTAAAATAATAGTCTATTTGAAAATTTAATTTTTGTTTTTGATTATATAATTATTATATGGATCTATTTAAGGAGAAGTTAATTAGGTATTCTTGGAGCAAATAACAAATTTAATAGAAGTTAATTAAGCGTCGGTTGTGACGCTATAACGTTTGCTTGATCATATGTATTGAGAAGTGAGGGTTGAACTTGTAAAAATATTTGGTATTCTTAAAATAAGAGTTATGGGAGTCACATAAACGTTGACCTCTAAATATAGATCATAAAATATGACTTGTACACATATCTTTATGAGAGGACTCCGATGGCTATATAATATGACTTGTACACATCTTTATGAGAGGACTCCGATGGCTATGTAGTCGAAACGGTGGTGTGTGTGTAATAAAAGTCTACCGGTTTAACCAGATGTGCACACCAAAAATAATAATCCTATGGTGCAAGCCTAAAGTTTTAATTTTATTCAAAGTGACGTGGCAGCATCTAAGTAATGGGACAGAAGATTGGTACAACAAATTGGGACAGGTGATCTAAACCCAAGAACACTACATTATTGTTCCTTGAAAAGGCTTAAAACAATCAAAATAAATAAATAAATAAATAAAAAATAAAAAAAAAATAGAAAACACAAAGCAAAGTAGTATTTGAGACGTTCTTAAATAATAGTCTATTTTCAAAAATTTAACCTTTTTTTTTTTTTTTGTACCTCTTGATTTGAACAATTATTATATGGATCTATTTAAGGAGAAGTTGATTAGGTGTTCTTGGAGTAAATGACAAATTTAATTAGAAATCAATTAAGTGCTCTTGGGGTAAGGTTGTGACGCCATAACGTTTGAATTATGTTAGAATTTTCATCATTCTAAACACAAATAACAAAACATGCACACATATATATACCAAGAGGAGGAAGATGGAATGGTTGAATTTTAAGAGCATTCACGCCAAGCAGCCACGCTGCCATGTTCTCTCCAGATATTCCTCCCTTACCCATGTTTTTTTTTTCTTCCCTTCTATTCCTGCTACAGTAGATGGTGTGCTGTCATGGTGGCTGGGAACAAAATTTAAGAAGTCAGTTGGGAGGATTTGGAGGCTTGTGCCAATTGCAATGTTATGGTCAGTATGGAGGTTAAGGAATGAGTGTATTTTTAAAGGAAATCAGCCCAATATGGAAGAACTTGGTGAAATAGTGAAAGTGAGGGTTGGGTTGTGGGCCAAATCTGGGCTGCCAGAGTTTCACTACTCAGTGCATGATGTAGTGGCTAATCTGAATCAGGTGACGTGTTGTTTATAGGGGTCTGCTGCTGGGTTGTATGTGCTTCTGGGGTGTGTGTGCCTAGTATGTTGCCCTATGTGTAGTCTGCCAATCAGAATTAGGATAGTCTGCCAATCTGGGAAGTCTGCTAATCTGTGCCTGCTGGTCTGCCAATCTGCGTCTGCTGGTCTGCCAATCCATGCTCATGCTAATCTGAATCAGTATGCTAATCTGATTTAGATCAGATGCTGTGTGGTTGCCTTGTTGCTGGGATGACTCAAGGAGGTCTGCTTCTGGGTTGTTGCTTGTTGCTGGCAGATCTGGTTGAATCAGGTTTGATCATAGGAAGTCTGCCTCTTGCTGTGTGCAGCCAGGTTTGAATCTAGGAAGTTTGCTGCTGGGGTGCTGCTGGTTGTTGCCCCTATGCTGCTGTTGGTCTGGCTGTTGGCTTCTTTGGGTGTGTTAAGCTGTTGTAGTGTATCTCTGTCCGGTGTTCTTCTCTTTCCTTTTCTATTTGTTTCCTTTATTGGTTTCTCACCAATTTAGGGTCTTGTGCGATCGGCTCTTCTCTCTTTGTTGATGTAAGTTATGTTGTTTTTCTCTCTTCATCAATAAAGTTTTCTTTGGTTGATCAAAAAATATTGACATAATATATGGATCTATTTAATTATATGGATCCATATAATTAAATATTATTGTATTCTTGGAGCAATTTCTTTAATTGTATTCTTGGAGCAATTTCTTTAATTGTATCATCAACAGATATTATATGGATCTATTTAATCTAATTGATGTTGATGATACAATTAAAGAAATTTATTTTTTGAGCAATAAAAAAGTATATATTTGATTTGATTAGATATATAAAATTTGGATTTGACCAATTTGAATTTAGATTTGGATAATCTTATTGACATTTAAGATTTGGATATATATCCATCTAAAAAAAGGTTTGAACTTATATATATGTAATGATGTAATGATATCTTATATCATATCATGAATTAATCTAAGGGTAGTCACACGGGGAGAGATTTAAGGACTGCATAAGTTTTCCACTTTTTAACTTCTTGCGGTGTATCTGCATTTAATTTTGCAACAATTCTACCCACATAATACTAAGAGCTTGTTTGACCTGAACTAACATAGTATACTTTTTTTTTACCTTTTTATTCTTTTTTAGTCATAGTATCTCTCTATTTTTTTACATATCTTTTCGTAAAAAATTAAAAAATATACTAAATTAGTACATTCCAAACAACCAATAATGTTAGGGATCATGAAAAAAAATATCATAACATTTTTCATGAAATTTTTTCATCATTTGATTAGTGTATGATGTTTTATTGCATGTATAATTCAAGAGTGGAGAATTTTCATGAAATATTTCATAATATTTTTTTTTTCATAATAGCTAGCATTATTCTAATACTAATCACATAATTGCCTATAAAAAAAATACTATTATACTTTCTTTGAAAATTTAAACAAGATTCTAAAAGGAAAAAGGTTAATTTTATTTTAAGCTAATTACATCAATGGTCCCTAATTTTTTCTAAGTTTTAGTTTGGCTCCGGTACTTTGAATTTCGTCAATATGATCCTTATACTTTCTATCTTGTTCCACTTTGGTCCTTTTTGCTTTACAATCTCGACCCTAAGGTTTTAGTTATTATATTCCTGCCTCTTAAGTTTTGTTATATTATAAAAATATATTTTTTATTTTATTTTATTTTATTTTATATTTTATCACACATTATATTTTCGTTTTTCTGGTGGTATTAATTCAAAAGGTTCATTTGGAGAGTTTTCCATGTAAGGATAAAAATAATTATTTGTGGTGTTTCCTTATTTATTTTTTACAATAGCTAATTGCTTATCCTTATCTAATAGTAGATATCAAACTTCGTGTATAATTTCTAGTTGATTTTCTTTTAGATTTTTGTTAAGTTATTTTAATAACCAAATTTTAGTATTGTTTTGTTCAATTATTATTTGTAGTTCAGTACTATTATTTAAATTATCTAATTCGACTTCTTCAGTATATATTTATATTGGTAAGACTGAGAAATCAAAGTTTAATACCAATTCTAAACACGAGCAATTTTACAAAGATTTTATAATTTATAGGGAATTTATAATTGTATTAAAAGGGAAATAGAGCATTAGAGTAATTAATAGAACTTTTGGGTTTATAGTTTATTTCTATATTTCTTTGAGGGACTAAATTGATTTGAAATTGAAATTGGATGGACTTAATTGGCACAGTTAGAACTACATGGATTAAAATGAAAAGGTGTCAAACTTGAGGGACTATGGTTATAATTCACCGTTTTAAACTATCAATTAAGTCTAGCAAGTCCTTAAAGTATATAAATCAAAATTTATTTAACCCTTGAACTATTAATTGAATCTATTAAGTTCTTAAAAAAATTAATTCAAACATATTTAGTTTTGGAAGGATTAGAAAAATAAAATATAAATCCATAAATATTACAAATCAATAAAAGATTATACCTAAATAAGATTTTATTGTATTTTTTAAAAATCTTAAATTTCCATGTTATTTACGTTTTTAAGGTAGAATTAACTTGAAAGGATCTTCATTTAAATTTCCTTTTATAAGAATAAGGGTAGTTATTTAGATTTTCATATTTATCTTCTATAATTGAATGGTGCTTACCTTTATCTAGTATTATATACCGAATTTCATTCACAATTTCTAATTGATTATTTTTAAGATTTTCGTTAAGTTCTTTTAATAACTTGATTAAAGTATTATTTTGTTCAATTATTATTTATAACAATTGCTATTATTGAAATTATATAATTCTATTTTTTAGTATATCTAATACTCATATAATTTTATTGCCAAGACTAAAAAATCAGACTCTTATACCAATTCTCCCTCTCTCTCTCTCTCTCTCTCTCTCTCTCACACACACAGACACAAAAAAAAAAACTTTTTAAAGACAATATAAATTTAAAGTTTTTTTTTATAAATAAAATCTTAACTAAGTAGGTTCTTTTACTAATTTATAATATTTATAAATTTATATTTTATTTTTGTAATCCTTTCTTTTTTCTTTTTTATCGAAAAAAGTTAGTAGTTAATTGTTAGATTAGTATATTGGAAGAGTTGAACTCTCATCCTCTCCATGCAAGCACTTAAGTCATGCCCTATATTTCACTCTTAAGAGTGAAATCCAAGACATCTTTTTAGGAGAGACTTGGTGGCCAAAGGGCTAGCCACGCAGGCTAGAACCCCTTGGCTATTTTTGTATTTCTTTCAAGGACCAAATATGCTTGAATTAAATATTTTAAAAATTTAATATATTCAATTGATAGTTCTAGGGTAGAAAGTGAAACAAACTCGAAAGGAAAAGAGAAAGAGAAAAAAAATTTGTCATATACTATTTCACATTTTACTCATTTTTTCTTTTTCCTTTTCAAATCTATACCTAAATCAATAATTTAAACACAATCTTAAGTTATATTTGAATAACTGTAATCTTAAAAGGAATGGAAATGTGATTCCGTATTGCCATGATTCCAGTGTTTGGTTCAAATCGAAATTAGAAAGTGATTCCTGATTATTTATTTCAGTAGGAATCACATTAGAAGAATCTCACATTTCTAAAGGAATATTAGCTAGTATGGATAAAATCACGACCAGCATAAGGTGAAAGAGAT